TTTTTCCTTTGTTTTCTTGTGTATGTATTTTGCAAGCAGAAATTTGTCTTTGAAATAAAGCATCAACTGAGAACGAATGTTACATGAAACAGCAAGCTGTCCCATGTCAAAGAAAGAGAAGGGGAAGTATTTCCGTTGGAAATACCAGTTCAAAAGGCCATGCCTGGCGGCATTTGAGGCAGATTGCAGCATTCCTGCTCCAGTCGCCACAGTGACATCTCTAGGCTGCTACTAATCAAAGTAGCATCGCCATGAGAAAGGGACAGTCAGCTGCCCAGATCCACTGTAGCAGCTCGGAGAAGACGATGGTCAGAGACACATCGCTGCGGAGGTGTGCTTCTGGCAAACCGGGGGGTATGTAAGAGATCCTCTATATAGGAATAGGAAATCTAGTAGGGCCGAAGAAGTGAACTCGGACAGGTCCGCGGTTCTTTCACACATCCATAAGGGGTTCTCATGATGGACATCATGAGATGTTTAAACGGTAAATCATCCAATCCTTGGTGACCTAAAGGGGGCAAGCTGTCGGCATGATTGTGGCTCCTTACGCTTCATTCAAGCAGGAAGACCATTGGCAATCTGGGCAGCAGCCTGGCTGGCTTCAATGTGGCGGTAGTTCAACCCCAGAGTGATCAGCTCCTGAAGGCTGGCATTGACTTTCTCGTGCATCGAGGAATCTTGGGGAGTGATGTTGCTCAGCTCCTCAAGGAGTCGGGAACGGCAGTTATAGTAGTTCCTCTCCGCGTTCTGAAGCCTCTGATTGTGATGGGCGGAGGTCTGCTGGGCTGCTTTGAGTGGGTTGGTCTGGGACTGGGTGGAGCGAGTGCGCTTCATGGTCTGTGCTCCGGTAACACCAGTCACACGACGCTTGCGTCCAATGGTTTCCTTCTTCTTAGCAGCCTGGCCGGTAGTTGGGGAAGCATCTGGGGAGCTGGGCCGGTCAGAAGAAGCATAATCGTGGACGCGCCTCATGTGGTCAAAGAGGTTCCAGCGACGGGGAAATCCATATCCGGGAATCGAACGGTCACATCCTTCAAACAGACAAAGGTGGGGGTTGTCTCCATGACCATGGAATCCATGAGCTTCGCGCTCGTGACGGAAGAGGCAAGCATTGGAAGAAAATTGCAACTGGGCATCCATGCAGGCAGGCACCTTGCAACGGTACGGCTTCAGATGGGAATCCAAATATTTGCTTCAAACGATTAGCCACATTTTCTCGCGATGGTAGTGGATGCGTCGAAACTTACTGGTAAGCACATTTCTGGGTAGTGGGAGCGTGATTGCAAGGCTTGTCTCCGTTGGCGAAAGGGCAGTAATACTTTCCATCACTATGAGTAGGCAAAGAATAGTATGGGTGATCCCGGGGGTTGCGCAGCTCAGTGGATTCCTTGGTGGATCTCTGCCGGACAGGCTCCTTTGGCAACGGAGGGAAAAACTCTGGGTCCTGCTTCACCTGGGTCTGGGATGGTGGGGTGTGAAGAGCTGGTCTACGTGCATTCTTAGAAGCCCGGATGGTTCTATTGAGGGGGAAAGGCGGTTAGGATCATTCCAAGACATGATCAATCGTACATGGGAGTCAAATGGCACTTACTTGTTTGGGTCCTGTTCCGCGAGCGGCGGCGTGAGGGGGAACAACGGGTCTCCTAGATTGATACCATGACTTCCAACGGGAGTGGCTGTAACATCCTTCAACATGGCATCCTCGTGGGTCATGAACGATGGGTATCCGGGGTGAGAGCATGAGGAAGTAACAGAGACATCATTACTCGCTTCCGTCAAAGGGGGAGAGACGGGCACGGGGTGAAACATGCTGGAAGAAAATTGTTCAAGTGGTGATCCGTGGTAGTTTCTGGTGTCTGTCACCATGGAATTCCAAGCATCGCTGGCAGCCAGGTGGCTGTCGTCTGTGTGAGAGCTGTGGCTGGACAGCGCATCATCAGTGCAGGACTGGTTCCCGCTTTGGCCGGAGACATCATCATAAGCAGTCAAGTCCATCATGGAGTATGGGTTGAAATCTTGAGGATGTGTGAGATCCAGGTCATTATCATGGAAGCCTGAGTATTCAGATCCGGTGTGATACATTACATCACTGGGGCCCACGGTGGAAGGCATCAATTGATGGGACAAATTGAAAGACAACATCTGTACTTCTGGGGATTCTGGCTTGGTGGATGGGATGACACCACTGTCTAGTGAGTCTACATCGCCCAAAGCCCATGACGGTAGTCCGTGGGGGGTTCCATGGCTTTGATGTGTACTGGAGCACAAAGAGAAATTGTCCTGGCTTGAGAGGTCATCATCCTGGATCGATCTGGAGGCCATGTTTGAGATTCCTTGGATCATTTCGGTATGCCTGGGTTGAGAGATGTGGTCCATGTTTTTCAACGATGACTGGGACAAAGAAACCTGTTCTGGGTCGTTCTTGATGTGGCAAGGCATTGTGATATATTTGAGATCCAGCTTGGCTGGGAAGTAAAAGCAAGCACTAAAAAACAAGAACTGTACGTCAGTAAATAGACCTTTCTATTTGTGAAACATGATCATAACATGAATAAAAAAGCACATGTCCGCGATCCAAAAGGGAGTGACGTCCTAGAAAGAATCGGTTAGTTGACTGAGCGATCGCCTGAGAATCATCGAAAGTACCAACCAAAGAACATATGATCCATTGATACTATCACTAAGGTCCAGGCTAAGTGACGTGACAATCCAGGTAACTATACACACAATGGCCAGACAAGAAGCGACAGTAAAAACACGGCGGATGTGGGGATCCACAACGCATACTAGGTCCGAGCTACACGCCGTGTAGTGATCCTTCAGAGATTTCGATGACCAGCAAAATCCATTGAGCATTAGTCCAGAGACTACTAGTCCTGCGAGCAAGGTGTAGTAAAGGTCAAGACATTATCAGATGCGAACAGGTTCTGTCTCCAATTGGTGCCGTCAATCTCTCCAGGTGTTCATCAATTCCAGCAAGCCTCATTGACTCATCCAGGGGTGGGGCGATTAGAGCACTGTGCTATTTTGTGATCCAGGGCAGGTCAAGATTGTAATACATCATAAAATCCTCAGGGCGGTGGGTTATGTCCAAGACGGTTTCATTCAAGTCCAGTGGGGGTATCCAAGGCCAATATAATACAGTTCTCTTCTCCGGGGTGGAAGAAGAGAGTCCATGGGTCCAGGAACGGTATAATAGAATCCAAGTGGAGTTGAGTGTATGCAACATTAAACAACACTCAACGTGTCCAGTCTCACAGCGGGCGCTGGGACAAAAATTGTTTCCAAGGTCATCATTATTCAAGTTACCGTCATTCAATGACGGGGCAAGTGTCCAGCACGGCAATGAAAGCAAATCAGGAATCCAGTAAGTCCGGTGATACGATATAGCACGGGTCGTCCATAAGTCGGTTTTCCAAGGTAATTTGTCGAGATGCGAGACACACAAAGGAAATGAAAATGCAAAAAAAAAAACAGGAACACAAAAGGAAAAATCAAGGGGACTACCTGTTATTTGTCGATGACTGCTCAGACCAAAAGCCTGGGAGTGAAGACACAAAGCACAAACAAGGCAAGTCCTATCCTGGAGAATGGACTGAGATCCAATGGGTTGTATGGTAGACCAAAGGGAGGTTCTTTTTTTTTCTGAATTCCAAGATCCACGGGTTGGACTGGATAGAAGTAGAGAAACAAAAAGCAACAAGAAGCCTTCGGTAGAATAGGTTGTGGGATGTGGGAGTATGGAAAGGGGATCAGCTGATTTGACTGTGACAAATCAAGCACGAAAGGAGTATAGTGGAGGAAGTAAATGGAGGTATTGTATGTATGGAGACGGATGTATGTATGTATGAAAAGTAGAAAAGTGGAGTGACGTTAGGGGGTATCTCTTGTCAAAACAATCAAAAAAAAAATTCAAAGTTAAGGTTAAGGGTTCTCTTGAATCCTTGTTTTCGTTTCTGTCCCGGTATAGTTTTGTTGGAAGACTGAATGATGTCTGAATCAGAAATAGAAAAGATCGAGAAAGAACTGGATCCCGAGGGGGGGAAACGACGGCTTTTTAGATGCTTTGGAGGGAGAGAAATGGCAAGCGTGGGGTGGATTCGCAGCGTCCGAGCGGCGTGACGGACTCGCATTCTGCAGCAGTAGCGGCGCCTCACTGGGCGGATGGCGAGCGATGATTTGGTGCTGCGCGACATGGCGGTGATGATGGTGCAACATGCGACGGTGTTGAGTCGGCCAATAACGGAGACTTGACGTGGCAGCGGGACGAAGGATCCTCTTTCCCGTGGTCCATTAACGGGACTTGCCCAATCTGGCGGTGAAGCGGGTCCCACTTCGGCCCGTTCGTTTATTGGCCTTAAAAAGGGGTCCTCCTCCCGTCCGTTGCATCATTGGAGGTCAATCTCCCTCCCGCGACTAAAAAAGGCGTTCGCCAGAACCCAATCCTGCAGGTATATCTCGCGCGCTTCTACGCCTATCATCCCCTCCCCACTCCCCTCCCATCTGGTTTTACCACTCCCCTATTGGGGCTCCACTTCTGCCTCGTGAAGGTTGCACTTGACTCCCTGCCATCGTTTGGTCGTGAGCCCTACCACGTCAAACCCCTCCATCTCATCGGGGAACATGGAAGAGATGTTGCTCAACTGCATGTCACTGC